TGTTCTGTCCTAAGGTATTGTTATATCATGACTCAAAGGATGGCAACAAAAATGTCAACTTTCAGATTCACCTGTTCAATGTCTTTTTCCTTTTTTCACATAGAGGGTGTTAACAAAGCAGGTCATGAGCAGACGTTGAACCGCGGTCCATGCCATGTACTAAGGATGCCTTCGGGCGGTGGGACGGCCGACGAGACAGCTTTACGCTGCTTTTAGTATGTACCACGATTAACTAGAAAACGGCTTGGCAGGCTATGACCACCTCGTCACAGACACATAAACACCTGGTGCCATCACTGATTTTCAGTGGCTATTGATATAATGTTCTCAGCTAGTTTGTCCTTTAGGCCAAATGGAATCGGCGGATAATCTAGACGGGATTTTCTCTGGCATTGACAATTTATATTTTGTCACTCTACGACACAACCATGTTATCTGCCGAGACAGTTTGAGTCTTTCGATTAGCATATCTTTGATTTAAAAATATTCAGGGGACTGGCTACATTTAAATTAAATTACCACATCACAACAGAGCGATGCCATTGTTTCTGCACATAGGCTGTATGTGATGTCACTCCTCGCCACACACAAACTTGGAAGTGAGAAAAACATAGCCACATCGTCATATATATCCCATATTCCTGCAACGTGAAATGATGTCACTTCTGCAGAGTGGGTTATCATCATTCAAAAGGATATATATGAGATAAGGCATGTTATAAATAAAAATGTCCTATTATATTGCCAACCACCATGTTTATGTGTGTCACTAAGTGAATGAGAATAGTGAATATATACGATCACATGAGTAGTTGTGTTCACGCACAAACACGAAATATAGCAGCGCATGCGTGTGGTCATCATTGGCCAGTTGATCTCATGTCCTGGTCAAGGGCTTCCATCAATTGACATGAGTTGGAGTGTATACAACAATGCAATGGTGGATTACATCAGAAGGTTTATCTGCATATCGGTCTGACACCCAATAAAACCTGTTGTAACATTGTTTTAAAACGCTGTAGATCTTTTTTCACGTCCAGCGTACACACGACGTCGGATCTGATGAATGGCATAAGACCCGATACTAATTAGCGGATTATTTACACAAATCAATACACAACAAGTCCCCGCAACGGCATTTTTCCTCCAAATATTTTTTTTCTGCGTCGTAAACCTCCATACTATCAGTGAAGTACGCAGTGAGGTACCCAGATATACAACATGAAGTCATACAGTCGGTGTGGTACCCAGATACACAACATGAAGTCATACAGTCCGTGTGGTACTGATATACACAACATGAAGTCATACAGTCGGTGTGGTACCCAGATACACAACATGAATTCATACAGTCAGTGTGGTACTCAGATACATAAAATGAATTCATACAGTCAGTGTGGTACTCAGATACACAACACGAATTCATACAGTCAGTGTGGTACTGACATACATGACATGAATTCATACAGTCAGTGTGGTACTCAGATACATGACATGAATTCATACAGTCGGTGTGGTACTCAGATACATGACATGAAGTCATACAGTCGGTGTGGTACTGAGATACATGACATGAATTCATACAGTCAGTGTGGTACTCAGATACATGACATGAATTCATACAGTCGGTGTGGTACTCAGATACACAACACGAATTCATACAGTCAGTGTGGTACTGATATACATGGCATGAATTCATACAGTCAGTGTGGTACTCAGATACATGACATGAATTCATACAGTCAATGAGGTACTCAGATACATGACATGAATTCATACAGTCAGTGTGGTACTGAGATACATGACATGAATTCATACAGTCAATGTGGTACTGAGATACATGACATGAATCCATACAGTCAATGTGGTACTCAGATACATGACATGAAGTCATACAGTCAATGAGGTACTGAGATACATGACATGAATTCATACAGTCAGTGTGGTACTCAGATACATGACATGAAGTCATACAGTCAGTGTGGTACTCAGATACAAGACATGAAGTCATACAGTCGGTATGGTACTCAGATACATGACATGAAGTCATACAGTCAATGAGGTACTGAGATACATGACATGAATTCATACAGTCGGTGTGGTACTGATATACATGACATGAAGTCATACAGTCAGTGTGGTACTCAGATACACAACACGAATTCATACAGTCAGTGTGGTACTCAGATACATGACATGAATTCATACAGTCAGTGTGGTACTGAGATACATGACATGAATTCATAGTCAGTGTGGTACTCAGATACATGACATGAATTCATACAGTCAGTGTGGTACTCAGATACATGACATGAATTCATACAGTCAGTGTGGTACTGATATACATGACATGAAGTCATACAGTCGGTGTGGTACTCAGATACACAACACGAATTCATAGTCAGTGTGGTACTGACATACATGACATGAATTAATACAGTCAGTGTGGTACTGAGATACATGACATGAATTCATACAGTCAGTGTGGTACTCAGATACATGACATGAAGTCACACAGTCAGTGTGGTACTGAGATACATGACATGAAGTCATACAGTCAATGTGGTACTCAGATACATGACATGAATTCATACAGTCGGTGTGGTACTGAGATACATGACATGAATTCATACAGTCGGTGTGGTACTCAGATACATGACATGAATTCATACAGTCGGTGTGGTACTGAGATACATGACATGAATTCATACAGTCAGTGTGGTTCCCCTAAATCCTCTGTTCCCTATATACATAGGATACTGGTGTACAATGTGTTCCCCACAATCCCCTGTTCCCTATGTACGTGGGATACCGGTGTACAATGTGTTACCCTAAATCCTCTGTTCCCTATGTACGTGGGATACTGGTCTACAATGTGTTCCCCATAATCCTCTCTTCCCCCTGTGCGTGGGATACTGGTGGACAATGTGTCCCACTACCCTCTGTTCCCTATGTACGCTGGATATGGGGTCCAGTTACATACAACCCACTGATCCCTATGTACGTGTGATACTGGTGTACAATGTATTACATACAACCCACTGTTCCCTATGTACGTGTGATACTGGTGAACAATGTATTACATACAACCCACTGTTCCCTATGTACGTTGGATACTGGTAACAATGTATTACATACAACCCATTGTTCCCTATGTACGTGGGATACTGTTGTAAAATGTATTACACACAACCCACTGTTCCCTATGCACATGGGATACTGGTAACAATGTATTACATACAACCCACTGTTCCCTATGTACGTGGGATACTGGTGTAAAATGTATTACATGCAACCCACTGTTCCCTATGCACGTGGGGTACTGGTGTACAATGTATTACATACAACCCACTGTTCCCTATGTACGTGGGATACTGGTGTAAAATGTATTACATGCAACCCACTGTTCCCTGTGTACGTGGGATACTGGTGTACAATGTATTACATACAACCCACTGTTCCCTGTGTACTCGGGATACTGGTGTAAAATGCATTACATACAAACCACTGTTCCCTGTGTACGTGGGATACTGTTGTAAAATGTATTACACACAACCCACTGTTCCCTATGCATATGGGGTGCTTGTGTACAATGTATTACATACAACTCACTGTTCCCTATGTACGTGGGGTACTGGTGTACAATGTATTACATACAACCCACTGTTCCCTGTGTACTCGGGATACTGGTGTACAATGCATTACATACTACCCACTGTTACCTATGTACGTGGGGTGCTTGTGTCCAATGTATTACATACAACCCACTGTTCCCTTTGTACGTGGGATATGGGGTCCAGTGTTTTACATACAACCCACTGTTCCCTATACACGTGGGGTACTGGTGTACAATGTATTACATACAACTCACTGTTCCCTATGTACGTGGGATATGGGGTCCAGTGTCTTACATACAACTCACTGTACCCTATGTACGTGGGATATGGGGTCCAGTGTCTTACATACAAACTACTGTACCCTATGTACGTGGGATATGGGGTCCAGTGTCTTACATACAAACTACTGTACCCTATGTACGTTGGATTTGGGGTCCAGTGTCTTACATACAAACTACTGTACCCTATGTACGTAGGATTTGGGGTCCAGTGTCTTACATACAAACTACTGTACCCTATGTAGGTAGGATATGGGGTCCAGGGTCTTACATACAAACTACTGTACCCTATGTACGTGGGATATGGGGTCCAGTGTCTTACATACAAACTACTGTACCCTATGTACGTGGGATATGGGGTCCAGTGTCTTACATACAAACTACTGTACCCTATGTACGTGGGATATGGGGTCCAGTGTCGTACATACAAACTACTGTACCCTATGTACGTGGGATATGGGGTCCAGTGTCTTACATACAAACTACTGTACCCTATGTACGTGGGATATGGGGTCCAGTGTCTTACATACAAACTACTGTACCCTATGTACGTGGGATATGGGGTCCAGTGTCTTACATACAAACTACTGTACCCTATGTACGTGGGATATGGGGTCCAGTGTCTTACATACAATCCACTGTACTCTATGTACGTGGGATTTGGGGTGCAATGTGTTCCCCTGTGTATTAGAAAGAGGCAAGAAATACCCAACTGTACCACAAGTTTTTACCTGTTGAAAAAACTTGTTTCTTGTGTGTTTCTCTTTGTTTTTAAGCAGTAGAGCGTCTGCACTTGTACACAAAATTCCAGATTAACATTTAGTTTTTAGTTTTTACCAAACCAGTAAACGCGCTATCGTGTCACTGGATTGTCTGGTCAAGACGCGATTGCCGTCGTATGGCAGGAGTACTGATGTACGACGGTAGACTTTTATACAAGTTGTGTGAGTAACGGGTGCTACTAGTAGAGAAGGGCATGCTCACTCTTTTCGCGAACACGCGGTGTCAACACCGTTTTTCAGTGATCCATTCATATAATTTTCACCATTTTAAGCCTAATCTATTTCGGCAGATAATTGAGTCTGCTTATTCTCTGAGGGTTTACCTTGTGGTTACAATCCCGCGAAGGCCGCACCAGCACTCCCTCTGACCCATGCTCTCCTGGATTTGCCTATCACAGTAAAGAACATTGCAGTCGTGGCATCATGATCAAGATAGATGTGATAACTCGCTACATCACAGAACGAATAAATACCTGGTGTGTTCATAACGTAGGTTGGCACGGTGACAGCATAGATGGTGGAGGTCGAGATACAGAGAAGATGTCCGTCCTTTCATCTGTCTTGACATCTTGTTGGATGGGTAAAATAACTTATCAAGAGTGGTCTGTGTGTTGCATATTGTTAATAAAAAGTCAAAACACAATGCTATTTTTTATGAACTTCAAATAAATCATTTTTTATTGCCAGAAGAATGGAAAAACATCTTTTTGAAATCGAAAATAGGTCATATTACATAATTTATGACTGTGTTGTGCTGTGGATTAATGCTTGTAAATAATTCCCTCCTGCCAGTGGTCTAGCTACACAAAGAGGGGCATTGCTGGAGTGCAAATATCACCACAGAACACGACACTTGCAAAATACACTAACAACTGATTATGGAACGCAGGTCCCCTTCAACGTCCTTCCAAGGACCCTCTGGAATGGGATAGTGGTCTTTAATATCGTTGTATAGTAATATTGCCAACTCAATTTAGTTGTATTTCTAATTCACCTATTTGATAATGTTCCCAAATGAATGGGTAATATTAACAACGAATTGGTAATATTATACAGGTACAACTTGTTAACAACCTAGCCTTCTTGATCACAAAGGTACACCCACCTTGATAACACCGTAGCCTCCTGGAGTGTACAGGCATGTTAGCAACCTTGTCTTCTTGATTATACACGTATATCTTGTTTACAACCTAGCTTCCTTGATTATACAAGTACACCTTGTTAACAACCTAGCTTCCTTGATTATACAAGTACACCTTGTTAACAACCTAGCCTCCTTGATTATACAGGTACACCTTGTTAACAACCTAGCTTCCTTGATTATACAGGTACACCTTGTTAACAACCTAGCCTCCTTGATTATACAGGTACACCTTGTTAACAACCTAGCCTCCTTGATTATACAAGTACACCTTGTTAACAACCTAGCCTCCTTGATTATACAAGTACACCTTGTTAACAACCTAGCCTCCTTGATTATACAGGTACACCTTGTTAACAACCTAGCCTCCTTGATTATACAGGTACACCTTGTTAACAACATAGCCTCCTTGATTATACAGGTACACCTTGTTAACAACCTAGCCTCCTTGATTATACAAGTACACCTTGTTAACAACCTAGCCTCCTTGATTATACAGGTACACCTTGTTAACAAACTAGCCTTCTTGATTATACAGGTACACCTTGTTAACAACCTAGCCTCCTTGATTATACAGGTACACCTTGTTAACAACCTAGCCTCCTTGATTATACAGGTACACCTTGTTAACAACCTAGCCTTCTTCATTATGCAGGTACACCTTGTTAGCAACCTAGCCTTCTTTATTATGCAGGTTCACCTTGTTAACAACCTTGCCTTCTTGATTGTACAGGTACACCTTGTAAACAAACTAGCCTTCTTGATTATGCAGGTACACCTTGTTAATATCGTAGCCTTCTTGATTATACAGGTACACCTTGTTAACAACCTTGCCTTCTTGATTATACAGGTACACCTTGTAAACATGGCAGCCTTCTTGATTATACAAGTACATCTTGTTAACAACATTGCCTTCTTGATTATACAAGTACACCTTGTTAACATCGTAGCCTTCTTGATTATACAGGTACACCTTGTTAACAACCTAGCCTTCTTGATTATGCAGGTACACCTTCTTAACAACCTTGCCTTCTTGATTATACAGGTACACCTTGTTAACAAACTAGCCTTCTTGATTATGCAGGTACACCTTGTTAACAACTCAGCCTCCTTGATTTTACAGGCACCCATGTTAACAACCAAGCCTCCTTGATTATACAGGCACCTCATGTTAACAACCTAGCTTCCTTGATTATACAGGCACCCCATGTTAACAACCTAGCTTCCTTGATTATACAGGCACCCCATGTTAACAACTAAGCCTCCTTGATTATACAGGCACACCTTGTTAACAACCTAGCCTCCTTGATTATACAGGCACACCATGTTAACAACCTAGCCTCCTTGATTATACAGGCATCCCATGTTAACAATCTAGCTTCCTTGATTATACAGGCACCCCATGTTAACAACCTAGCCTCCTTGATTATACAGGCATCCCATGTTAACAATCTAGCCTCCTTGATTATACAGGCACCCCATGTTAACAACCTAGCTTCCTTGATTATACAGGCACCCCATGTTAACAACCTAGCCTTCTTGATTATACAGGCACACCATGTTAACAACGTAGCCTCCTTGATTATACAGGCATCCCATGTTAACAATCTAGCCTTCTTGATTATATCGTTTGAAGGGTCAACTTTCTGGCCTTCTTGACTATACGAGCGTGTGAATGAATTTTGTTTGACGCCACAGGCGGCAATATTCTGAACAGATCACCGAAAGCATGAGTAACGATCCACGCCATAAAACACAATCAAACAAGTCACAGGGTCTGACTGCACAGCCACAGATGTGACGACACATATGAAGAGCTTAGAGCCATAAGGGCCAATGTCATGTGGAGTTTGTTTTGAGGAAAGTGATGAAAACACATAATATAATGCATGTTATTGAACTTTCTTTTTTTATGATAAATTCCTAAACATTAAAGCATTCCGACAGCAGAGATAGAAATGTTGTTATAAAAAAATAATTAAAAAGGAAATAAACCTACGTTTTAACTTGTGTAAGGGTGGAAAGGGACAGTGTCTATATTTTGCCCCTTTTTGACCCTCAGGTATTTGCATGGGATTTAACATGTGAGATTGATAACTACTACTGAAAGTACAAACACATACTATTGAAGTACTTTTGATTGATTTAAACTAAACTAACATTGTTGTAATAGTTCAAATATAATAATAAGGTGTCCAAACTTTCAAAATCTCTCTCAGACAACCAGTTTCAACCACACACGAAAATGCGAACCAAAAGGGCCAAAATCTAGCAAAGTGACTTTGGCCCTTTTGGAACATGACTTTGGCCCTTTTATAGAATTTTAAGTGGCTTTATTTAAAAAACGCATCAATGAAAAAATACTCTATTTTTTCTACAGGTAGACAAGAACTCATAGATGTTATTTATTCAATAATAAGCGAAAAGGGCCAAAGTGCCTTTTGGCCCCTTTTAGCTCTAAGCTCTTCATATGTAATGTTAACACCCCATCCTTTCTGATTCTACAGATGCAATATTAACACCCCAGCCATCCTGATTATACATGTACGTCATGTTAACACTTCATCTTTCCTGATATAACAGATCCGATATATCACGTTAATACCCCATGCTTCCTCATTATTCAACTATATCATGTTAACACCCAATGCTTCCTCATTATTCAACTATATCATGTTAACATCCCATGCTTCCTCATTATGCAACTATATCATGTTAACACCAAATGCTTCCCCATTATGCAACTATATCATGTTAACATCCCATGCTTCCTCATTATTCAACTATATCATGTTAACACCCCATGCTTCCTCATTATTCAACTATATCATGTTAACATCCCATGCTTCCTCATTATGCAACTATATCATGTTAACACCCCATGCTTCCTCATTATTCAACTATATCATGTTAACACCCCATGCTTTCCCATTATTCAACTATATCATGTTAACATCCCATGCTTCCTCATTATGCAACTATATCATGTTAACACCCAATGCTTCCTCATTATGCAACTTTTTCATGTTAACACCAAATGCTTCCTCATAATGCAACTATATCATTTTAACACCCAATGCTTCCTCATAATGCAACTATATCATGTTAACACCCCATGCTGTCTCGTTATTCAACTGACCGCCTCCGTGGTCTAGTGGCAGAGCGTCCGCCCGGAAAGCGGAAGGTCAGGGGTTCGATCCCCGACCGTGTCATACCAAAAGACGTTAAAAGATGGTACTTGTTGTTACCCTGTCTGGCGCTCGGCATCAAGGGGCTAAAACAAGGACTGGTCGGCTCGGAATCAGTATACTGTGTCTGAGTGGGGTATTCATGTTAAACTGCAGCATGGTATCTCAGTGAGCTAGCACTATAAATCGGCATCAGTCAGGACTAGTACAAGCAGCCACACAGACACACGTGCATGCACGTCGCTATATAAGTGCAGTAATCTTGGACGCGATTTCACCTCACCTCACCTCATTATGCAACTATATCATGTTAACACCCAATGCTTCCTCATTATGCAACTTTTTCATGTTAACACCCAATGCTTCCTCATAATGCAACTATATCATGTTAACACCCCATGCTTCCTCATTATTCAACTATATCATGTTAACACCCAATGCTTCCTCAAAATGCAACTATATCATGAGTAGTATAGGTAATGATGGTTCTGGCTCACTTCCACTGGAGCTGGATTCATATACCTATACCATCACTACAGATGGAATTTTTTATGCCAAAATGACTATGCAATTCAATGATAGTCATAAGATTCAGCTAAATTGGCTCCAGCTCACCACCACCTGGAGCCAATGATATAAATTTTTATAGGTAATGATGGTTCTGGCTCACTTCCACTGGAGCAGGATTCGTATACCTATACTGCTACTACAGGGGGGATTTTTAATGCCAAAATGATTATGCGATTTAACGATAGTCATGAGATTAAGTTAAATTGACTCTAGCTCACCAATACCTGGGGCCAATCATTGCTTTAGATGAGCCTAAATGGTAATAAAAATATTCTTCATTATTTTTATCGATAAAGCGATATTCAACATTTTTATTAAGTTCTTCGTTCATTTTACTAGGAGACCAGACTATATAACTACACTCTTTTTGTAAATTGATAAGAAACAATTGATAACCGTATTTGGTTGGTTTGACATCACTGATATAATAAAAACCTTGTGGTAATTCTTTCCATTGAATAGCTTTCTCCATTATTATATATTTATGTTAGCATTTGTCTAAATGTAATCACACGATAGTAAACAATCTATTTTTAATCTCCAACCAGTTCTTTGGTTTTGGCACGGAATAATTGACGCGCTTGTTGCCTCCCCTCTTCTATGAACTTTTTTTTCTCGTCTTCGCTAATACCACTGGTCTTACGAGATTTTGATCGAATCTCCTGCT